CAACCTTTTTATTTTTAAGAGCAGTTATTCTTATGAAAACTATATTTGTTTGAGCCAGTGGTTACAAAGTTAAGTTTGAGGTAATTTAAAGTCATTAAAGAAAAACTTTTTGATTTTCTGCTTTTCTATTTTAGATATGCATCTCTTGCTTTCAAAAAAAACAGTGATGCTAAGATGGCTGTGAAAGAAATGAATGGGCTAGAAATAAATGGAAAATCAGTAAATGTGCGACTCGTTAAAATTCCCGGAGAATACCCATCACCACTTGCCTCCAAATATGAGAATAAAACTAGTTTGAATAATTTGGAGAAAAGCACCAACAAAGAAATCAACTCAGCCATCCCTGTTCCTAAATTGCCCAGAACTAGGCCAAGGCAGCTGGGATCTGAGCAAGACAGTGAATTTTTTTCTTTTGACCGAAAGGTTAGTTTTCTTGATTGATCCCTTAAATGGTCTTTGGACATGCCAATATTGCTATAAGCAGCTTTGTAGAATAAATAACTCCAGTATCAGCAGTCTTGAAGTGGGAATGAGAGCAATAATCTGAATTGTTTTTAACCTTGGATCCACCCTAACCTGCTTTTATACAATTCCAGTTGTTCCTGAGGGTAAATCTAAATCTTTGTAGACCTAGCTAAAGAGAAACTCATTCATTTTAACTTTAGGCTCTTTGCCAACCCTTTACAGCTGCAGGATCTTGCAGGCATTCCACAGATCTTTCTTTTTAATGTACATATAGTAAAATGCACTTTTTGGTGTCCATGACTTTAGATGAATGCATACAGGCAAGTAACCACCACCATAATCAAGATACAAAACAGTTTCATCATTCCAGAAAATTCTCTCGTACTCTGATATATTTTTTGTTCTTATAATTTTACCTTTTTCAGAATGTCATGTAAATGAAATCATATTATGTAGCCCCAGTACTCTGGCTTCTTATACTTAGCTTAATGCATTTGACATTGATCCATGCTGTTGTGTATATCAGTATTTCATTCCTGTTCATGTTTTTCTCATTTTTATTCAGTTACTTTCTTACTGAGTTTTGAATTCTTTATCAGATACACGATTTGCAAATAATTATTCTCAGCTTGTGCCTTGTCTTTTCATCTTAACAGTGTCTTTCTCAGCAGGAGTTTTTAATTTTGCTAAAGTATAATCTATTAATTTTGCTTTTATAACTTACACTTTTTAGTGTTGTAGCTAAGAGATCTTAGCATAATTCAAGGTCACAAAGGTTTTGAGTTAATTTTTATATAATTGTTTCAGTTATGAATTGTGGTTTTGTTTATTTGTATTTGTTTCTATTTTGCATATGGAATTGTTCCAGTGTCATTTGTTGAAAAGACTATCTAATTTCCATTGAATTACCTTTGCACCTTGCTCGAAAATCAATTGCCCCTATTTGTGTGGATCTATATCTAGACTGGAACTGTTCCATTGAACTGTTTATCTATTTTTCCACCCATACTACATGATGTTGATTACTGTAGCTTTATAGTAACTCTTGAAATCAGGTGGAATGGGTCCTCTAACTTTAT